AAAGGAGATTAAAAGGGAAAAAAACACATGATGTAGAAAGTTAAAATTTCCAGTACTTGTGATAATAACTATGGTAACTATTTGACTCTACACAGCAAGTTACTATATTTGATTTCTTTGCTAAATTAAGATATTTTCATTCTTACATTTGATGGTCTATTCTCATGTACAATTCATGTGAAGCAACTACTACTCATCTATTCCTAGATAACTACCAAGTTTAAAATTTTTCCTTCTCTGTTAATGATCTTGATTAGATCAGAAGTTGAAAGAAATTATGTGGAGTGAAATAAAGTACTTATTATAAGTACCTCTAAGTACAGATCTTTGTTTCTAAACTCGTCTGATTCCCATATTTACTGTGATGATTTCTGAAATTAATTCAATTCAAAGATACTTTTGTTTCTTTTGAACGAAAAGGTAGTAAAGGATTGGAATATTGGCGACTGGACAAGGTGCAATGGGTTTAATTACCTAGCAACCCCTTTATACTTGCATATACTTCTAGCAACACCAATTCTTCTTCTATAAGGAGAAAAAAAAGAGAACATAATTTGGTTATGGAAAAGATTTTTTAAACTTGACATGGAAAATTTGTGTAGTTATTAAGTATATATGTACCTTCTTAGTGAAATTTGTGAAAGTTGATGTACCCAGTACTCGATGGCAGCCATGAATCAACTTTTTTAGGTGTTGCTCTACTAAAGTAGTCGGCCTAACCTTCGGTTCAGTTCTGGTCTGGGGAAGGCCGATCAAAGAAAGGATTAGTGACTTCCTGGATTTTTTCCTTTCTTTAATGGATAGAATTCCTCTTTCCGTGGGGTCCGGATCAGGAATAATAAATAAAATGGAAACAAGATAAAATCTTATATCAAATCATTTATATACTTATGCTTTTATCACTAGTCTATATGAAGTAACAAAAGTTGAGTATTGATGAGCTGATAAATCATGTAGCATTGTCAAAATGTTTAACATGACTTTAATGTTATCTCATACTCTTATTTGTCATCTTTTGTAGGTGAAGTAAATGATAAAGTTACAGACAAAAACAGTGAAGACCTTGTTAAGAAGATTTCAATTGTTGCTGAAGTTTTAGATATTTTAGGAATCTTTTAATTTCATTCATTTTGAAACTTATGCTAACTTTTGAATTGTATTTTGCTCTTATGGATATTATCAATTGGATAATTTGGATTATGCTTTTGTTTATGAATAGTTTTATTTTGTAATGTATATAAATTTTGGTGTATTACATTTTATTATGCATAATTATTTATTTACACCCGGGCTAGCATGTGTGAGCCGTTGCCATAGGTGCGGTGAGCCGTTGCAGTAGGTGTTATACTAGCTTTTAGTCTCGACAAAACCGATGCAATAGTTATTCGAAACCGTTGCAATATCATAATTTTGGCATTGCAATAGATTTAATAAACCTTTGCATAAAGATATTGCAACGGTTATAACCCGTTCCAATTGACTAAAAATTCCGTGGTAATAGAAGGAAGGAAAAACCGTTGCAATAGATAGTAATATAGCAACGGTTACACAAACCGTTGCAGTAGATCTATTGCCACGCGACCTGGTGAAACGGTCCGCAAACCGTTCCAGTAGCTCTATTGCAACGGTTTTCAGCCATTGCCATAGGACTAATTTCTAATAGTGAAAAGGAAAAGCAAGAATCAAAGCTTAAAGTCTCACTTACCTTGCTAGCGGGATGTTTTTCAACTTTGCAATATTTAGAACACCAACCAAATGGAATGGCTTCAATCTATCCAAAATATTGAATGACATATCCTAATTAGCGTAGGTGAAATTTTTTCATAATTTTATGACAAATCAAAATCAAAGTCAACCCTCGATTTAATTAATAAAAAAATTGGTACACAATTAAATGCCAAACGAGGCACTGTAACGCTGCAATGCTAACGTCCCAGATGAACTTCACGTACTTATACCATTGTTTTCTTTCTAACATGCATAATCTCATAACTTTCATATAATGGTTAAATTCTTAATCATTGTTCTCGTCATTACTTATTTATTATTATACTAATTTGTCCACATTCTTGTCTTAATCATTGTCAACATATACATGGTAACCATATTACTCATATTAATTCACTGTACTACTGAAGCGTATAAGTAGATATACTTAATTACTTGGATTCTTTCTATCATAATTAAAGACAATTAATTGCTACTGCTCCTAATTTCTCAAGTTAAATTAGCTTAATTATATTACACTGGAATATAACATACTAACCTTGCTACGCCAACAACAACACTTAATCATCCTTTAGCCACCAGTGTTCTAAGATAGTAAAGTCCAAATAACTCATTTATAAACCAGTTCTTAGTTTGCAATTCCTCGCTACCTAATTTTACAGTTTACGAATTATTGCTATAATATTTGGTTCTGTAATTACCACTTTAATCATTAATTAGCTTATACACTTTATTTTGCCATCACTTTTATTCTAGATAAAATAAATTCAAAGTGCATGTTAAAGTTAATATTCATACCTGGACTCCTATAAAGTTGTAAAAGATCTTCACAGTAAAAGCTTTCTGACGTGCCTTCAATATTCCCAATGCTCTTGATCTATTTTGCTGCTTCTCTTCACTGCTAGAATAAGATTAGTTTAACTAATACTCTCTTAAACGTGGGCAGTAATTGGGACTGGGGATGTCTCACAGCCCAATTCTTTTATTGTCTTAAAGCCCACGATTAAACAACTTTGAATGGTCCACTAGCAAATTAACTATTATCCTATTTTATACTCCATCCGTTCACTTTTACTTGTCCACTATTCTAAAAAATAGATTTTTATTTTTATTTGTCCACTTTTGCGAGAAAAATAATTTATTTTTCCTTTTTTGCTCTTATCATTAATTACTCATTCCAAATCATTTTCAAAATTCATTAAATCTATACACCAATTAATATGGGTATCATTGTAAATTATGCACTTTATTTATTATTTCTTAAGTGATGTGCAAAGTCAAGAATGGATAGGTAAAAGTGAACAGAGTAAGTATATTACAATAAATCCTCTTTCGTTAACTTATATATGGCTCATCAATAACTAAAAAAAATAATTCTTTAATCTCGCAATAAGTATGAAAAAATATTTTCGGTCATTACAACTGCACAGAGGTTATCGAAATGATCAACAACTCTGACTCAATATATGTGACTTCTCTTCTCTTGTTAACGATTGCATGTCATTATTGAAGCCAATAGAAATGCAGGAGATCAAGCACATGTTCAGGGTAATCAATATAGTGGCGGATAGGCTTGCACTGAAAGGGGAAAACGAGCATCTTTTAGTTCTACTACCTGATCTAGCTTGTCTTCCAACATTTTACTTATCACTAATGGAGAGGGTGTCACGACCCGGAACGTTCCCCAACTTCGGGGCTGTGATGGTGCCTCACATTTCTCTCGCCAGGCAAGCTAATATTAGAGTATTTGCTCATTGTTAACAATTCAAATTATATAACAATAAAGAACCGAAATAGTTGAAATAAATTCTGAAGTAAAGAGCGGAAAATGTAACAACCAAAATCTCTAATACAATCCGAATCTGGTGTCACAAGTGCATGAGCTACTAGAATACTAAAGATAAAAGGTCTGAATAAAACACAGAGTTGTCTGAGAGAAAGTATATAGCTAAAATAATAAGAAAGGGACTTTAAGGGATGCAAACGCCGAGCAGCTGTACCTCAAGTCTCCACACTGATAGCTAGCCCGAGCATGCTAATGACCGTCGCTGAAACCGACTACAAAATCTGCATAAGAAGTGTAGAGTGTAGCATGGGTACAACCGACCCCATGTACTCTATAAGTGCCGAGACTAACCTCGCCGAGGTAGTGACGAGGCTAAGGCGGGTCACTTACACTATAACCTGTACACAATTTAAAATAAAGGCATGAAAGGAAAATAAGGAATGAAATAAGTAAGTTAACTGAACAAAATAGCTCAATCCTAAAAAAAACCCAGTGAAGGTCAGAATTACCAACCCTTAGAGTCTCGTACGAAAATACCAAAAACCAACACAGTAAGGAAATTGAAACACATAGCCTGTTGCGGAGCGCAACCCGATCCCACCATAATAATATCAACAATAGTAAAAAATTTATATATGTTACGACGCGCAACCCGATCCTACCATATAATCAGAATCAAAATCAAAATTCACCCTTATTTTACCGTATCAATTTACTCTTATTTCACTTGTTGCAGCGCGCAACCCGATCCCACCATATTAGTATAAATTCACCCTTATTTCACCATATCAATCCACTCTTATTTCACATGTTGCGGCGTGTAACCCGATCCCACCATATCAGTAACAAATTAATAACTCAAATAACAAGAACCTATATGATTAACAAATATGAAGCCGAATTAAAAAGGAAACCACGTACCAAATTGAGGATTCACCATATGTACTATTAAACAGTAAGACAAGTCCAGTAAATGACAATTAAAGGGTGCAAGTAAGTCAATTAAGTCAAATAGCAGTGAATCATGAAAGCATGGGAAGATCTAACATTTTTAACATGAGAATAATGATTAACAAGTTGCGGATAAAGGTATTGGAAGCATTTAAAGTACATAACAGTTAAGGCATTGAAGGAAATAATTAAGGAAATGCAAAAAATCAGGGAAAACAAGCCATTCGGCTGCGTATAAGCACTCCTTACCTTGCACATACGCCGCAACATAGGAATTTCACATAGCACATAGCCCGAGGGTTCATAATTCCCTCAAATCAAGGTTAAACCCAATACTTACCTCACTCCGCATTCAACTAGAGCTCTACTGGGGCCTTTCCTCTAGAATCCGCCTCCAAACCAATCATATCTAACCACAATTAACTCGATAATATTAAATAATGCTAAGAAAATCAATTACAATACACAAAGTTAGGATTTTTACACTTTTTCCCAAAAAGTCAAAAAAGTCAACTCCAGGTCCGCTTGGTCAAAACTCGAAATTCGAACGAAAACCTATTTACCCATTCACTCCCAAGCCCGATTATGTAATTAGTTTCGAAATCTGACTCCAAACTGAGGTCTAAATTCCGAATTTGCAAACCTCCCAATTCTTCCCAAATCCCTAGTTTTCTACCATGGAAGAACAAAGATTAAGGCTAGGAATTAATGGGTGTTGATGGAAATGAAAGAAAACTAGTTAAAATCTACTAACCTATGAAGTTGGGATGAAAAACCTCTTCAAAATCGCTTCTTGGCCGAGCTCAAACTTGAAAATGGGATAAATCCCAATTTTTGGACCGTTTAAAAGGCTGTGCGTCAGGTGTTTATCGCATTCGCGAGACACCTGACGCAATCGCGAAGCATTGCGGCCTAAATGGCCTTCACATTCGTGGGAAAACCTACGCATTCGCGATGGTCTCACCCACCTAGCCTTTGCATTCGCGAGTCTAGGCTCATGTTCGCATAGAGAAACCCCTGCCCTACCAGAATCTCCCTTAACCCATCACGTTCGCGTGCAAACGGTCACGTTCGCAAAGGGTAATCCATCTACTGATTCATGTTCGCGACCGGTTCTACGCGTTCACGTAGAAGAACACCCTCCCCTATCCCAGTTTTCCCTTCACGATCGCGGAAGTACCTTCGTGATTGCAGGAGTACCTTCGCGATTGCGGGAGTACCTTCACGATTGCGAAGTACAAAACCTCAGATACCAGCAACACTCAAACAAACTAGATTTTTCTAAGTTCAAATGGTCTATAGGCTATTCAAAACTCACTCGAGCCCTAGGGGCTCCAAAATAAACATGCACCCAAGTCCAAAAATATTATACGAACTCGCTCGCATGATCAAAACACCAAAATAACACCTAGGACTATGAATCAGACACCAAAACGAATAAATATTTTAATAAAACTTAAGAACTTTCATTTTAACAACCGGACGTCCGAATCACGTCAAATCATGTCCGTTTTGCATCAAATTTTGCAGACCAATCGTAAATACAGTAACGGACCTACACCAAGTTCTAAAACCAAATATCCGGACCCGTTATCGACAAAGTCAAATTTCAGTCAAACGTTTTAATTCTTTAAACCTTTAAGCTTCAATTTTTCATTAAATTTAGATAATTCGAGCTAGGGACTTTTGAATTTGATTCCAGGCATACGTCCAAGTCCTAAATCATGATACAGATGCACCGAGATCGTTAAAACATGGATTCAGGTCTATTTGCTTAAAATATTGAC